AAAAGAATTAATTATTAATTATACATTAATAAAATTTCTAGATTTTTAGCTTTATTTTGATATATTTTTTATTAATTTTTATGTAGTAGTTTTTGAGTAATGAATAAATAAAAAATTTCAAAATTTTTTGTACTATACTATATATAAATTGCTTAGATAGTTGATATTTATAGTGCTTATTTAATATATATAAAATATATATAAAGTAATTTACTAAATCAAATTAAGATAAAAAGATAGATAAAATATATTATACAATTATTAAGTAAATTAAAGTTAAGGGATTTAAGTTGAACATAATATAAAAAAAGTTAAATAGAAGTTATAGAATTATTTTTATTGTTAACCTTTTTTGATAAATCTTAAATTGTTCTCTTTTTTATTTTATTATATTCTTTTTTCTTTTAATCTTAATAATTTATGATTTTTGAATCAATCAATAGTAATAAATTGTTTACAACCCTTTTTTCTTTTAATCTTAATAATTCATAAATTTTGGATCAATCATTATTAATAAATTGTTTACAATAGTACTAATAGATAGAAAAAAATCCAATCTAACTAAAGAAGTATCATATTGTTCTCTAAATCAAACTTAGAATACTTTTGTATGAAGATAAGTTAACCATATTGTGAAAAGTCTGTAATTATATTAGATTTCTAATTAATTTCTAAATAAAGACATGTTATTACAACAATTGTGAATTAAAAAAAAAAAAAAATTAATACAAAGACTATTTTAAAATTTATACAATATTATATTTTTATTTTTATTCAAAAATTAAATATATATATATTTTTTGTAAAATAATATACTGTAAAGTTTATATAATATCGACTATAATTTTGAAACAAACTTTGACCAGTCCGGCTTTTTCTTTTGGCCGAACGAGCTCATACCATAGGCGGCCTCTTCAGAATCCAGCATTTCCAAAAACGTTTGCTTAACATGCTGCTTTTTAAGTTCATCAGTTGACGAGGATCCAATGACATTTGTTAACTTTTTGATAGTACCCATCGCACCGGGCGCGCTGGATAAAAGTTCTTCAGCATATTGGGCTACTTTATCATCCAAGCATTTTAAATTCTTAACGACACAAGTTAAAAACTTATCCGAAACCGCCTGATCGACCGTGACCTTTTCACCACTTAACATATACTGCTTCGCCTTAAATGTGCCAATCTCGGGTACTATGTACAGTGAAATGATGGCCGGGATAAGGCCTCTTTTAACTTCCAAAAAGGAAAAATAAGCATCGCTCACAGCAATTCTTAAATCTGTAGTAAATATCAAACCGATTCCGCCACCCAATGCAGGTCCATTTATTCTAGCAATCACGGGTTTAGGACATTCTTTTATTGTTTGATATAAGCGAAGTCCCACTTCGAAAATTTCAGAAGCCTCTTCTATTGACTTGTTTCCGATCTTTAAATCTAATCCCGTACAAAAAAATTTGCCAGCACCCGTTAGAACAATGACGCGTATGGATTTTTCGACTATTGCGGAATTGAAAGCATCAAGAAGTTCGAAGACCATGGAAGAGTTCAGAGAATTTCCGCGTTCTGGCCTATTTAAAGTTATGGTGACCACCTCGTTCTCGACATTCACAAGTATTTGTTTCTGTTGAGAACTGGTCATCGTTGACATCAAATAAACTTTGCCAAACAAATTAATAATCATGATCAAAATTGGTGCACGTGATCTTTTGTACGAACATACATGCCATACATGAACACAGTGGTGCTGTTAATTTTGATTTATCAAGATGGACGAATTGTTTGCGTTGCGAAATCTTTTTTACACGGGTAAGCTCTAATATCTTTTTCGGAAGCTTCATTAGAAAAGGTGCAAACTTACACTTCCTGTGTAGGGTCGTTCCAACAGGTTATAAATGAGGCAAATAAGAATGTCTCCGTTTCAGAGAGCGCCAAGTTAGAAAGGAAGGTATACTTGTACCGAGCGTATATTGCTCAGGGCAAGTATAATCTGGTTTTGTCGGAGATAAAGGAAACTGACCCTGTCGACTTAAGGGTAGTCAAGATTTTGGCAGCATATCTGCGGTCCAAGACCGGTGGCGGGCAGACTTCTGACGCAAGAAAAGAGGAAGCGTTAAAGGAGCTTAGGGAAGTGTTGAGTAATGCCGTGAACACGTCAAATTCAACCGTTCAGATAATTGCAGGTACGGCCTATTATCACGAAGGGTTATTCGAGGATGCATTGAAGGTTTTGATTCGACATAATAAGAACTTAGAATGGTAAGGCGATGCCTCAGTTGCCGCCGTCGATGATCGATTCTTTTTTTTTTTTAATAAAACGATTTCTCTGATCGACCCATTAATAGTGTGGCGTTGATAATTCAAATATACCTACAGTTGGATCGTTTAGATCTAGCGAAAAGGGAGCTCGCGGCTACAAAAACTTGGGCCGAGGATGCAATGTTGGCTCAGCTTATTGAAGCTTGGGTTGGGTTAAGAACGGTAAAGTGAGGAGTTTTATTGACATTATGGGATCAATCGAATGCGAGGATTTAATTCAGTACACTTTACAAGGGCGGTGATAAATATCAGGAGGCCTACTACATATACGAAGAAATCGCACAGTCTCCCTCCTCAAACACTGTTAAGGTGTTGAACGGACAAGCCGTTTGTAATATTCATCTCGGGAGATATCCTGAAGCTGAAAGTTTATTATTGGAAGCGATGAATAAGGTAAGCGATTTTATCATCCTCCAGTGAGATATTAATTTCAAGATTCAATAACACTTCCTTCCTTCCTCTTCTCGGAACATAGAAAAATGATGATGCGGACACCTTGGTCAATTTGATAGTGGTCACTAATCTATTAGGGAAACCCACAGAAGTTGTTAATCGCTATATCACGTAAGTATCTAAACTATGACTTCTCCTTGATTGTCCTGTGTCAAAACCTAAATTTCATATTACCGTGCGTAATTATTATTCAGTCAACTAAAGGAAGTAGCACCGAACCATGCTTTCTTGCAAGATCTTGATCTGAAAACGAGTTTGTTTGATCGTGCAGCGCAAAGATTTGCCCTTACTTGAATTTCCCAATTATTTTATAAAATTAATATCTTTTTAGAAACTTGGCGTAATGATGTATTTATTTAATAAAGATTGGCGAAGTCAGTTATGTAATTAATGTGGTTGAAATAATAATTTTTTAATACATGGTTGCAATGTCTTAGTTACAGATATTTCCTATCTCACGACTCGATCAGTGTATGACAGAATGTGAACAGATAGCTGCCCCAATCGGAATTTTAGCAGTGAATGCAAGATAATCGGCAGATCTTTCGCTACCCAAATTATCGCGCTATTATTTATCTAGGAATAAACGATGAATCAAGGGTTAAAGTTTTCCGGGCACAAATACTTTCGGCAGCGTTTGATTCTTGCTACCCTAAGCGGAAAACTGGTTAAATTTGACAAAATTCGTTCGGAAGACAGCGATCCGGGACTGCTTGGTTGGTTAGAGACCGAGTCACGTTTCAGAAAAATTTTCTTCGCGCGCATATTAAAAAAAAATTTTTTTGGCATCCTATAGAATTTGAAATCAGTTTTTTAAGGTTATTGGAAAAAGTTACCAATGGATCGACAATAGAGATTAGCTACACAGGTGAGAAGGGGGGGTTGTTGTTCATAATCATTTAAAGCCACGTAACCAAAATTTCAAAATAGAAAAAAAATTTTTTCAGGCACTAGCGTTCTATATAAACCGGGAATAATTACTGGTGGAGAGATACAACATGACTGTAGCACTGCACGTGCGATCGGATACTTTTTAGAACCAATGGTCGCGTTGGCACCTTTCTCGAAGAAACCATTTAATCTGACTTTAACCGGAATCACAAATGATAACTTGGATATATCGGTTCGAAAATTTTTCGTATGATGGCCATGGTGACCCTGGAGTGACTGACCACTTACGATCCCATTATAGGTGGACATCATAAGAACGGTGACTCTACCACAACTTAGAAGATTTGGTATCGAAGATGGCTTGGAATTGAAGGTAGACATCGAGATCCTCGTAAAAAAAAAAAAGCGCGATAACCACTATAACGATGGAGACTATTTCGAAATAATCGATAGATCTCTAAACGTGGATCTGTTCCACTTGGAGGGGGTGAAGTTAATTTCAAGTGTCCCAACGTGAGAGCACTGAAACCAGCACAATTCACAGACGAAGGTCGGATCAAACGCATCCGTGGTATTGCGTAACGTATTTCCGTTTTTTCCTCTCCTTTCTTAAGTAGTTTTACAAGTTAGTTAAATCTGTAATTTCGACTGTCAAGATGCTGTACAAGGGTATCACCACAGAACACAAATAGAATGGTGGACTCCGCAAGGTCAGTATTGAACAGGTATATTCCTGATGTGTACATATATACGGACGTTTACAAGGGTGAAGAATCTGGAAAGTATGTTACATTTTTTTTTTTAATACGAAACTTAGTCACGGGAGAATTGGTCGCTAAAATTTAGCATGAAACAAATAGATCTCCAGGGTTTGCACTTTCTCTTGTAGCCGAGTCCACGACAGGTTCTCTCATGGCCGCTGAACAAGCCGCAAATCCGGGCGACACACCCGAGGATGTCGGTCGAAGAACAGCAAAACTCTTATTGGCAGAAATACGTAAAGGTGGTTGCGTCGACTCATTGAATCAATGGTTGGTCTTGTTGATGATGATCCTAGGCCCTGAGGATGTATCGAAAGTCAGACTGGGGCAATTGACAGCCTTCACGTAAGTTTAGTTCACTGCTCATACAAGCTTGTGCATATATTTAAAGTATGAATATATATATATATATTTTTTTTTATTATTTTTTTTTTTTTTTAATCCACAGAATACAATATATTCGAGATATCCGTGCTTTCTTTGATGTCACGTTCAAAATAAAACCCGATTCTACATCAAATACAATATTGATGGCTTGCGTTGGTATTGGTTATGTTAACTATAGTAAGAAAGCAACCTAAAAAAAAAAATTTCCCGAACACGAAGTCACTGCTCTACTACTTGAGTTTGAAGTGCTAATACCAAATGAAAATCAAGTCAGTTATTGAAAAATTCGTGCGATAATAAAATTTAAAAAAAAAAAAATTTTTTATACCTTTGAATGATGGCACAGGGATGTAGCTAACGTAAGTGTACAGTTTCTCCTTGGCGTACTCTTCGTCATTACGACGTCGTGAGAGGCGAAGACGCATACGACGGGGAACATTCTTGATCCCCTGTTTCCAAATTTCTTTGTTCAGTTGAGGATCAAGACGAACGTCCTTTGTTCCCATATGCTTAAAGGCGAATTCTTTAATTGATTTTACGGCGTGAGGTGCACGGTTCTTGAAGCTCCTGTTTAATTACCAAAAAAAAAAATCGTCATTCGTAAATTTGACTAGACAGTTATGTAGATGGCGAACCATCAGGCCATCAGTTAGGATTGTTTGCAGAAGGATTATGCAGATGGGGGAAAATTTTTACCTTCCGTGAACCGTTTTGTGCAAATGAATGGTGTAGTCTCTTGTCACGACATCTGCGATCGCGCTTCGTGTTTTTTTTTCTTTGGCCATCTTTAGATAGACTAAATGTGAGTCATATGTGACTTGTCTCGAATGATTCTCAAAATTAGATAGAGCAACAAATTTTGAGCACCTCGCAAACGGATGAAATGTATGATGATTTCGAAGATAAAAGAAAAAAAAAAAAAATGGATCTATAAAAAAAAAAAAACTATTTCATTTGGGTACCTGGTTTCTGGATCGGATCACGGG